GCTGTAAGTAAGCATTTCACTGTAATGTCTGCACCTGTTGTATTCGGCGCATGTGACCAATAAAATTTGATTTGATTTGATTTGATTTGATGTTTTTGTCACATTATTATGCAGTCTACTGTAAAGTGATTACAGAACTACTCCAAACTCTGTTGTTTCTCCCGAAACGCACCTTGTCATTTTCTGCCTGGCTCCACCTCAACAGCTTGAAGTGTCAGAGAGTAGCAGGGTTACACTGTAATTGCGATTCCGGAGTTCAGGACACAGACCCAGGCAGCAGGCTAACGGCTGTCTGGTTTGGCTGGAGGGAGCTGGGAGGGTGTTGGGGGAGGTACAGATGGAGAGGGCAGATGGCTGGAGGGCTTGTTACAGATGACCTTGCAGGTAGAGCCTGCCTGGCTGTTCCCCACCCCTGCCTGGCCTTGCATTACATGGGGCCGTCTGTAAAGTTCCTTTTGTCTGTAAAGCTCCTGCACTGTGCCTGCCTACAACTGTACTTAGCAACTGTTCATGCAAGTGCATTTGAGTATGAATACAGATCAACACAAGTAATGTATCCTATCCACTGCATTCAAACTGTTGTGTTACATTGGGCTCCGTTCCAACATTCTAACTCAACGTTGCAGTATTGGCTGTGTTCCACCTTCCAGACTTCTGAAGTCACAAGACAGGTAGTGTAGTAGTGTGACTCAGACAATGGGTGTTTCTCAAAATGCATACTACCGTGCTCTGAGCACGCAAATTGGAGCACGGGAGGGTCGGAGTATGAGTCAAAATCAATGGAGCACGGAGGAATGGAGCACGGAGGGCACTTCTCGAGTGTGTACTCCGTTTGTACATATTGTGAAGCATGCATCGATGCAAGCTTCAACAGAAAGTATGCAAAGAAATATGACGCAACCACGTAAAAAATGACTCAACAGTTCTTGAAATCAATGGTGGCCGTTATTTGAGCTGAAGCGAGAGAAAATACACTCCGACTTCGGAAAGAAATGTTGCTTATTCACATATAATATGTTGCCTGACTACAATATTTTATCTTGATATGTAAATAAATACATGCTGTGTACATTTTGGCGTGTTTACCTGCCTACGTACCATAGATCGGAAGCCCATAATAATTCAATAGGGATAACTGGCTAGCTATTACTGTTAGCTAGCTACCCACGAAGAATTGACATCTACTTTGCATAATATTAGTTTTAGGTCATTTGTGCCTTTTATACCATCTGGTTAGCAACATTATTACGATTCACATATAGCTAGCTGATATTTATGAAGTAAAACATTTGCTTTGTGTATATCTCGTTTCGTCTCTTGCCACTGTCCTGGCTGGAAGACGGTTCAGTGACTGGGTAGCTAAGTCCATAGTAAGTCAATAGGGCTAGCTAGCCACGAATAATTGGTAGCTACCCACGAAAAATGTACATCTACCTTGCATAACATTATTTTTAGGCCATTTATGCCTGTTTAACTAGCTGGCTAGCTTGATTATTACGATTCACATATCTAGCTGATAATTATGAAGTACAACATTTGCTTTGTGTATATCTTGTTTTGTCTATTGTTGACATTGTCCTGGCTGGAAGACGGTTCAGTGAATGGGGAGGTGCAGTGTGAGGGGAAGTGTGAGTGCTTCTCAAATATAATGTTTTATGCATTCTCCATACTCTCGTCCTCACAAGAACGTACTCAAGAGAACGTCGTCAGAGCATGAGAGTGTGGAGCATGGTAGTATGCATATCGAGAAACACCCATTGGCTCTGATGAGTTTGGGTTCTGTGACTCGTCCTCCACACTTCCTCCTTATGTTATTGTCCTTCTATAGTTGCGGTTGCCATGGCACTCGTCTCTAATTGCAAAACAAAATAATAATCACTCTTAGATGGTTCCTCTCTCCCTCTCTCTCTCTCTCTCTCTCTCTCTCTCTGTCAGTCTCACTATCTTTCTTTCAATCTTTCTCTGAATCAATCACCCATTCTCACTGTCTCACTCCTCTCTCTCAATTTCAATTCAATTTCAATTTAAGGGCTTTATTGGCATGGGAAACGTGTGTTAACATTGCCAAAGCAAGTGAAGTAGATAGTAAACAAAAGTGAAATAAACAATAAATATTAACAGTAAACATTACACTCAGAAGTTTCAAAAGAATAAAGACATTTCAAATGTCATATTATATATATATACAGTGTTGTAACAATGTGCAAATAGTTAAAGTACAAATGGGAAAATAAATAAACATAAATATGGGTTGTATTTACAATGGTGTTTGTTCTTCACTGGTTGCCCTTTTCTTGTGGCAACAGGTCACAAATCTTGCAGCTGTGATGGCACACTGTGGTTTTTCACCCAGTAGATAAGTGAGTTTATCAAAATTGGGTTTGTTTTCGAATTCTTTGTGGATCGCTGTAATCTGAGGGAAATATGTGTCTCTAATATGGTCATACATTTGGCAGGAGGTTAGGAAGTGCAGCTCAGTTTCCACCTCATTTTGTGGGCAGTGTGCACATAGCCTGTCTTCTCTTGAGAGCCAGGTCTGCCTACGGCGGCCTTTCTCAATAGCAAGGCTATGCTCACTGAGTCTGTACATAGTCAAAGCTTTCCTTAAGTTTGGGTCAGTCACAGTAGTCAAGTATTCTGCCACTGTGTACTCTCTGTTTAGGGCCAAATAGCATTCTAGTTTGCTCTGTTTTTTTGTTTGTTCTTTCCAATGTGTCAAGTAATTCTCTTTTTTTTTTCTCATGATTTGGTTGGGTCTAGTTGTGTTGTTGTTGTTGTTGTTGTTGTCCTGGGGCTGTGTGGGGTCTGTTTGTGTTTGTGAACAGAGCCCCAGGACAAGCTTACTTAGGGGACTCTTCTCCAAGTTCATCTCTCTGTAGGTGATGGCTTTGTTATGGAAGGTTTGGGAATCGCTTCCTTTTAAGTGGTTATAGAATTTAACGGCTCTTTTCTGGATTTTGATAATTAGCGGGTATTGGCCTAATTCTGCTCTGCATGCATTATTTGGTGTTTTACGTTGTACACGGAGGATGTTTTTGCAGAATTCTGCATGCAGAGTCTCAATTTGGTGTTTGTCCCATTTTGTGAATTCTTGGTTGGTGAGCGGACCCCAGACCTCAGAACCATAAAGGGCAATGGGTTCTATAACTGATTCAAGTATTTTTAGCCAGATCCTAATTGGTATGTCAAATTTTATGTTCCTTTTGATGGCATAGAAGGCCCTTCTTGCCTTGTCTCTCAGATCGTTCACAGCTTTGTGGAAGTTACCTGTGGCGCTGATGTTTAGGCCGAGGTATGTATAGTTTTTTGTGTGCTCTAGGGCAACGGTGTCTAGATGGAATTTGTATTTGTGGTCCTGGCACCTGGACCTTTTTTGGAACACCATTATTTTTGTCTTACTGAGATTTACTGTCAGGGCCCAGGTCTGACAGAATCTGTGCAGAAGATCTAGGTGCTGCTGTAGGCCCTCCTTGGTTGGTGACAGAAGCACCAGATCGTCAGCAAACAGAAGACATTTGACTTCAGATTCTAGTAGGGTGAGGCCGGGTGCTGCAGACTGTTCTAGTGCTCTCTCTCTCTCTGTCTCTCTCTCTCTCTGTCTGCCAGTCTTTTTATATCTGTGAGACTCCTCGGGGGCATTCTGATCTGAATAAATGTTTGCGATTAGAGCGAAGGCTGTCTGGTGGTTTAGGCTGCAGAGACGGGAGAGACGAGCGACAGTCACTTTGCGGCCTCAAATGAGTTTTCGTCTACACCCTCAGTCTGTCATGTTGAGTTTGGAGCATTGGTTTTCTTAGTGTCAAAGGCAGCATCCCAAATGGCACTCTCTTTCCTTTCAAGTAGACTACACAACTTCAATGGGCCCTGGTTAAACATTGTGCACTATAAAGGTAATAGCATGCCATTTGGGAGGCACCCAAAGGACTGAGGAAATAGATATTGTCTTTCTATTTGTACTCTCCCCTGTGTCTTCAGTTCAGCACAGCTGCCCAGGATGGTGGTGCAGATGTCTGTAGACAAACCTTTTAAAGCAGATTATCCAGAGGTCACACAGTCACTCCTCATTCAACCTCTCCTTTTGATTTTATTACCATGATGACCCACTCACACTCCCACTCCTCCCCCTCCATCGGTGAGGCATCCTGGGCTGCCATCTCCCCCCCCCGACCTTACCTGGGGCGTCTCTGAGCCGATCCCATCCCAGGCTGAATGCTTTGAAGTGGGGGTTAGAGAGTTGATGAAGTGGAGGGCTGCTTTGATCTCTCCACTGGCGTTTGTTGTTAACGTACAGAGTGTAGAGACTCTGCCAAGCCCCGCTTCCTCTCTCTGACCCAACACCTTCTAACTATCGTCAACGAACACTTACTCTCTCTCACACACACACACACACACACACACACTGTTCGCACACACACAGGTCTGCCAATTACCCCACTAATACAGTAGTTCTGTTTACTCTGTTTACTTAACCTTGAGCACCCCTCTCTGCCAAACAAACACCAGTACAATTGTATTGACCCACTACTGTCAGAGCTGAAGCACTTTATTACTCTCTGACACTATTTATGCTGTTTTCATGATATGATTGACTCTAGTGGTTGAGGACTGTAGAGTAATTGTGAGGAGTGCCAATACGTTTTAATTTTGACATCTTCCCTCCTCATTGAAACCCCACTAACAACTGAGGTAATAAAAAGAGAAATCGCATACTTAAGCTAAGAGAGTTCTCAGGTGTGTTTGCGTGCCCACTCACAATGTACCTTATATTTTATGGAGTTGGATCTGTACTGTAGGAGCCTACAGAGTAAGTGGTTGCAGTTGGAGCTTGCTAGAGATGATAGCCCAGTGCAGTTGTTTGTTTAGAGAATCAGTTCCACAACTGGTGTTCGGGTCCCCAATGCTCCGGTGACGTGGAGGAGGAGGCTGTCAGCGTCCTGGATCGAGACCAGAGAGAGAGGGACGTTTAGAGCCTCGTCTAGCCTCATATCTCCACACAGCAGATGGGGACCAAAGCGCTTCGCACCTCTCAGTATGCAAGCAGGATACGGATGCAGATGCCCTTCTCTGAGTGGATAGAGGCAGTAACCATACGCATACTTATGAACTCTCTGACATGCACACACTGGAACTGCACAGGCCCCTCTCAGAGATGGTACTCATCATCAACAGAGGAAATACTGGCGCAGGAGGATGAGGATGGTCAACCTTAAACTTCATCAACACTGTGTGATGACGGTCACAACAACTATTTTGGGGGGGGTTTCAACTCAAACTTTTTAAACAAATGAACATCCTTTTTGGCTTAGTGCTGCCTCCAATATCACAAATGTCACACACAATCTCTTGAAGTTGAAGACAAAATCCCAAAGTCCCAGCACAGCACAGACCAATCAGCTTGTCTCCTGTCCCGTGTTGCACTAACTCCCAGACTTCATCTTCCAGCTCGTCACACCCCTCAGAGAGAGGCAGCCTAAAACATTTGTTTCTTTTCTTTGAGGCGTAGCCCTCTGTTAATTTCCCATGGCGTGGGCCCTTTGTTTAAAGGTCTCTAATGGAGAAGCAGATCAGCCTCGGTGCACTCATCCAACCAACGCAGACGCCAGCAACCCAGACAGACTGACTGACAGGGGAATTTCACTCTGGCTACAGCTGCCCTCCCCATTTCACCAGAGGAAGAGATGAAAGGAGGGAGCAGAGGAAAGGAGGGAGCAGAGGAAAGGAGGGAGCAGAGGAGGAACTGTCTGCTGACCTGTAGAGTAAAAGTCTGGAAGGACTTGTCATTACCATGTGTTCCACTTTAGACGTTTTGCTAATTACAGGGTAGTAGATACTATACTGTAGACATTTCTCTGTGGATTGATTGGTTAGTCGAACGACTAAGGGAGGGGATACTTTGCCTTTGTCCTGGAGTGGCACTGGGCTGAAATGGCATCAGGACCTCTGTGCCGGCCTGTATCAATCTGTGACTGGGATTGGGGTCCTTGCATTTCTGTTCAGTCATAATTCACAACCCCCTCAATTACCAATGTTTCTCTACCACCGCTACCACCACATTTGTGGAAAATGCAAATCACCAGTGGCGTGATATTGAATCTCAAATGGGCTTTTCACATGGGCACTGAGTGGTTTTGAGACCCGGATGACTTCAACCCCTGTGAAAGTTATATCTCACATTTTTCCTCTCAACCTTTTGATGAAATGGACTGTGAATCCATTGGAATACATTATTCAAGCAGAGAGGGATTTGTAGCTGGTGAAACTGAAAGGAAAAGGGGATTGATGGAAGACGAGGTTCACAGTGGGTTCAAATGTATTCACTAAAAGGTCTGTGTTATGTGTCTGATACAGTATCTTCATTCTGTCTAATGTAGGTTTAGGGTAATGCACAGTATGAGCTGTTTGCTATGAGAGCTGCGTTCAAGAAAGCTCTTCGACCAATTTACTGGTCAAACATTCTCTAAAAGCACTATGTCTGTATTATGATGTTTGAATTCTGTCTAATGTATGTTGATGCATAGCATGTGCTATATGTAAGCCTACTATATGAGAGCTGCATTCCAAAAGGGTAAGGCTGCAAGTTTAGTCATGGTGTTATGTCTTAATTCAGTCGTCTTGATCTATATAGATGCTGCGTTCAAGAAAGGTGATATGAGGCTACGTGTTTAGTATTGCTGGGCACGTACTATTTATTTAGGTGGTGCAGAGAGGCTGTTCAAAACCTCATCTGTATAAATGATGAATAAGGGTCTCTGGTAGACTGTCGGTTGGTAGGACTGCTAACTCGTTGCTGTGGGCTAGAGGCCAGGAGATTGGTGCTGTGAGAGTCAGACAAATGCAGAGTGGGAGGTGGTGCGAGGATAGGTTTGACACACTGTAACGGTTTTGACTTGAGGTATTTATAGGGGTGCCAGGTAGGTTGTGCCTACCAGAGAAAGCATGGGTTTCTCCTTTTAGTTCGGGAGGGAATGAGTCCCCTCTGGTCCGTCAAGTCACACCAATACAAAGGACTTAGGTAAAAGTCAAGATGGAAATATACTTTTCATAAACCCCTTAAAACCTTGGAAAGAACTTCAAACAAGTGTATTCTTTTGCTTGGTTGTATTCACAACATAAATGATCACCCCCACCCACACACAACAATATAACAAATCAATGCACTTATCTTCATTTAGAAATGTCCTGTACCTCGGGCATAAAAAGAGTCCAGCCCGGTAAATAAGTTCCGTGGCTCAAGTGCCCTTAGTCCCGCAACGCTTGTCCGTAGCATAAACCCAGTATATTCATACACTCAAAATAACACTTATTTTGTAACACAACTATAAAGCGTATCAAAGACTACCCAAAGAATAATACGTCCTCACAACTACATAAATCACAGTATACATCACCCCAAACAAATGAAATACCGTATACAAAAAGTTGTAGTCAGTCGGTCAGTCAGACAATCCGTCAACAGCCCTCCAGCGGAGGAAAGGCCACGAAAACCAACGGAGAGTTGTAATCCACAGACGCACAGAGTGGATCCAATCCTGGGTAAGCTCGCTTTAAGGCCACAAAACACACTGTAAGGCCACAAAACAAACGTAATGGCGAAGCTTCATGAACTGAAGGTAGTACACATCCTCATTCAGGTCTCAATCACCACTTTCCTTTTGCGCAGCTGATGCTGGCTATTTAATGGGGAATTAAAGGGGAAGCGCCCTATTAGAAGGAGAAGCCTTGAGACGGTTCAGAAATATTCAGGGCCGTCACACACCCCCTCCCCTGGAAAAAGCCGACCATTGCCCGGGAAGGCAGATCTTGGTCGGGGAAACCGAGAAAGGTCTCCTCATCACTTTCCTCTACAAAAATATTCATTACTTTTTGGCGCTCACGCTCCTCAGCTGAGGGGTCACAGGCATTAAGCCGTGAGACTTCTGGGTCTGGGAATCCGAGAAAAGTCTCCTTACTTTCCTCTTCAAAGATCTCCAGGACCTTGCGGCGCTCAATCTCCTCCAATTCCTCAGCCGAGGGGTAACAGGCCTTAAGGCGTGAGACATGGACAACGCGCATATCTTCACCTGTGTCCTCTTTCACCACTCGGTAGTTCAAAGGGCCCACCTGCTCCACAATCCTATATGGTCCTTGCCATTTAGGAGCGAGCTTGGCCGAGAAGAATTGTTCAGCTTTCGAGTAAGGATGAGAGCGAAGCCACACCCGATCACGAAGCTGGAACTGCAGGTCTCGTCTGTTCTTATCATAATTTTTCTTCTGCTTGAGTCGAGCCTGGATCATGTTCCTTGAGACAAGAGCTCTCAAGTCGTGGAGATGGACTACCTGGTCATAGCAAGCCGCGTCTGGAGTAAGCTGCTGGGGCTGTAGCACCATATCCAAGGGTCCTCGGAGGAGACGACTTAGGTTCAGCTCTGCAGGTGTGACTCCAGTGGACTCTTGCACAGCAGAATTCAGGGCAAATCGAAACTCGTGAAGGTGCTTGTCCCAGTGTTTGTGCTGGGTCCCTACATAGGAAGCAACCATGGTCTTCAAGGTTCGATTTACTCTCTCAGTGAGGTTGGTCTGTGGGTGATAGGCTGTGGTCAACTTCTGTCTCAGGTTCCATCTTTGGCAGGTCTCTCCAAAGAGATCAGAGACAAATTGGGAACCTCGATCAGACAGAATGTAATCAGGCACTCCCCAGCGAGTCAGGATCTCTCTCGTAAGGATGTTAGAGACGGTCCTCGCTGTGGCCTGACGCAGGGCAAAGAGCTCAACCCACTTGGAATAGTAATCCACAAAAACAAGCATGTACACATTCTGATTGGAGCTTCTAGGAAATGGACCCATCAAATCCACTCCTAACATTTCCCAAGGTCGGGTAACCACAGTTTGCTGCAACTTGCCAGCAGGTTTTCTACCTTCCGGTTTGTACATTTGACAAACCTGACATTTTCGGATATGTGATTTCACATCCATGCTCAGATGTGGCCAGTACAGTAATGCTTGCAAACGTTTGTAGGTTTTGAACCTGCCCAAATGACCAGCTAATGGGTCTTCATGGAAATGTTGAAGCAGTTGAAGGCGTAGAGTTTCAGGTATGTACATTTGGTAGAGTGTTCGGTGAGGTAGTTGTACAACTCGGTAGACTTTGTCTTCAATGATGGTCAGCTTTGTGGTAGGGTTGACCATCTTTTCTTCATCTTCCAGGATAGTCTGGTACAAAGCCTGTACTTCGGGATCATCCTGTTGGGCTTTCCAAATGACCTCATCAGAGATGGGCAAGTCAGTTTTGAGTGAGTCTCGACTGCTAGACAGGACAGTAGCACATGTAAGATGAGGGCCACCATTACCACAAGCAGGAGCTCTGGATAAGGCATCTGGAACAGTGTTGTATTTTCCTTTCCTGTATTCTACGGCAAAGGTGAACTCTTGCAACCGTAGAGCCCATCTGATGAGCCTGGTGCTTGGTTTGTTGGTCTTGAACACCCACACAAGGGAGGAATGGTCAGTGACCACAGTGAAGTGTCTTCCCTCCAGGTAGTACCTCCACTTTTCCAAAGCCCAGACAACTGCAAGGCACTCTTGCTCGGTTGTGGAGTAGTTCCGTTCTGCTCCATTCAATGTCCGACTGGCGAACGCTAGCACTTCTTCAGTACCAAGTCCAGTCTGTTGGACTAGGACAGCACCAAGTCCAACATCACTTGCATCAGTGTAAACAACAAAAGGGAAATCAAAGTTGGGATGACCCAAAATGGGAGGGGTGACGAGGTGTCGTTTCAGGGTTTCAAAGGAGTTCTGGCACTCTGCCGTCCATCGGAATTTCGCTCCTTTTCGCTTCAACCCGTTGAGGGGTTCTGCCACCTGGGAGAAGTTCCACACAAACCGATGGTACCATCCAGCCATCCCAAGGAACCGTTGAAGGGCCTTGAGTGTGGTTGGCACAGGGAAGTCTTGTACAGCCTTGGTCTTTTCAGGATCCACATGAATACCATCACAAGACACAATATGGCCAAGGAACTTCAGGGAGGTTTGGCAGAAGTTGCTCTTCTTCATGTTCACTGTCAGACCAGCTTCTCTTAGCTTGTCCAACACTGCTTGAAGGTCTTGAAAGTGTTGCTCTCTGTTCTGGGAGTAGATAATTATATCGTCCAGGTAGACGAAACATATCTTCCCTTTGAGCCCACCTAACGCAATCTCCATGAGTCTTTGGAAAGTGGCAGGTGCATTCTTTAATCCAAAAGGCATCACCTTAAAGGAAAACAAGCCCTCAGCACAGACAAAAGCAGTCTTGTCCTTGCTTTCCTGGTCCATCTCAACCTGCCAATAGCCACTATTGAGGTCAAGGGTAGTGAACACAACCGCGCCAGACAATGACTCCAGGATCTCGTGGATGGTGGGAAGAGGATAGGCATCAGTCTGGGAAACATTGTTGGTCTTCCTATAGTCCACACAAAATCTAAGACCACCGGTCTTTTTTGGAATGAGGACAACAGGAGCAGCCCAGGGAGAGGAGGAACGTTCTATTATATCTTGTGTCAACATATCATTAATGAGTCCCTTTTGGATGATTAGCTTCGCTGGGGACAAACGATATGGCTTTTGCTTGATCGGTATTTCCTGTGTAAGGAATATTTTGTGCTTCAGGAGTCCGGTGCGTCCTAACTTTGAAGTACACACATCGGCATTATTCTGCAACTGTTCCAACAGCCTTAACTCCTCTGGCTGTTCCAGCTGAGCTCTTCTTACAGCCTGTAAAAGGAGATCCTCAGAAGGATTATCCAGGGTTAGTGGTACCGTAGCAACGGCAGAGAAGACTGCCACATTTAGACCCCAATCATGTAACTTTGTAACTTCTGATTGGAAGAAATGCTTCTTGCTCGGATTGTTTGGAAACCAGTAGCAATTGTGTGCGATATCAATCTGGACACCACTGAAGTACATGAAATCAATTCCCAACACGACAGGAAAAGCAAGGTTCTTGGTTTGCAGGATAACCGAAGGAATCATATAGGAGCGGTTACACAGGCGGAACTCCACCTCACTCCATCCAAGTGGTCGTTTAGCCTCACCGTCAGCCAGATACAGTGGACCTTCTGTCCACGGCTTCAAATTGTATTTTGGACCTTCAACCTCCTTCCACAGTTTCTCATTGAGCAGTGTGTAGGATGACCCGGTGTCCAGGATGGCTCTTCCTGTCCATGGGCCTATGGACAGGGGTAACACCAGCTGGTGTGGTATTAACTGAAAGGAAGGGGATGTCGGCGGGGGGGCGTAGGCAGTGACTCTTGAGGTTTCAGCTCTGGTCAAAGCACCCAGAGTAGGATGGTCGTTCCTGCGAAGTGTGTTAGGGGTGTTGGCCTGCTGTGATTTGTAGTTTCTGGAAGGGTTTACTGGATACGGTCTTGGACATGTAGCTGAAGAATGTCCCTTTTGGCTACATCTCCAACAGAACATGGGAGGGGTCTTGGCTGGAGACTCTGGCTGTGGTTGATGATCTGGCTTGGGTAACTGTCTGGGTGTCTGTTTCTTTCTCTGTTCATATTGCTGTTGGCATTCTCTGTCCTTCTCGAACTGCTGTCCCAGGCGAACCAGTCCATCGACAGTGGTGACTCTTTCTCTGAGTTGACTGGCTAGTAGTGGGTTGATGTTCTTCAAGATCAACTTAATGACCTCTTCCTCCTCAATGCCAGGTTTCCACCTTCTGCACAGGGAGTGGTAACCGTATGCAAAGTCACGGATATTCTCATTCTCCCTTTGCACTCGATTCCTGACTCTGTCTGCCAGCTCATCTGTGTAGTCCTCAGACAGAAATGCAGAGGAAAACTTGGCCTCAAAGTCAGCCCAGGAGGTAGTGGTGAGACGTGCCACATCCCACCAGTCTCGAGCTGTCCCATGCAACACATTCCTCAATGTGGCAAGGAGTTCTTCGTCAGCCAGGGGATTGAGGGCAAGAAAGTCATGACATCTTTCCAGATACATTAGCGGATCAGGACTGTCATCCTTTTTCCCAAAGGTGGGAAATTGCAATTTAATGGGCATCGCTCCCACATGACGTCTACTCAAATCACCATGAACAAAAGAGCTAGGAGGGATTGAGGAAGTAGAGGGTGAGGGAGTTATGGGACCATGAAAATGAACACCAGGATGCATGGTGGATTGCATCCTGCAAGGGGTGGCTGCAGCATGGCCTTGTCTTGGCTGTTCTGAGGTGCCCGCTTGGCCCTCAGTGGTCTGAACAGAAGTGGACACAAGAGAAGCTCTGTGCAAGGAGTTGTGCCTAATGGATGAGGCACTGGCCTCCTAAGCCAGAGATTGTGGGTTCAAGTCCCATCTGGGGTGCCATTTTTTATGTAACGGTTTTGACTTGAGGTATTTATAGGGGTGCCAGGTAGGTTGTGCCTACCAGAGAAAGCATGGGTTTCTCCTTTTAGTTCGGGAGGGAATGAGTCCCCTCTGGTCCGTCAAGTCACACCAATACAAAGGACTTAGGTAAAAGTCAAGATGGAAATATACTTTTCATAAACCCCTTAAAACCTTGGAAAGAACTTCAAACAAGTGTATTCTTTTGCTTGGTTGTATTCACAACATAAATGATCACCCCCACCCACACACAACAATATAACAAATCAATGCACTTATCTTCATTTAGAAATGTCCTGTACCTCGGGCATAAAAAGAGTCCAGCCCGGTAAATAAGTTCCGTGGCTCAAGTGCCCTTAGTCCCGCAACGCTTGTCCGTAGCATAAACCCAGTATATTCATACACTCAAAATAACACTTATTTTGTAACACAACTATAAAGCGTATCAAAGACTACCCAAAGAATAATACGTCCTCACAACTACATAAATCACAGTATACATCACCCCAAACAAATGAAATACCGTATACAAAAAGTTGTAGTCAGTCGGTCAGTCAGACAATCCGTCAACAGCCCTCCAGCGGAGGAAAGGCCACGAAAACCAACGGAGAGTTGTAATCCACAGACGCACAGAGTGGATCCAATCCTGGGTAAGCTCGCTTTAAGGCCACAAAACACACTGTAAGGCCACAAAACAAACGTAATGGCGAAGCTTCATGAACTGAAGGTAGTACACATCCTCATTCAGGTCTCAATCACCACTTTCCTTTTGCGCAGCTGATGCTGGCTATTTAATGGGGAATTAAAGGGGAAGCGCCCTATTAGAAGGAGAAGCCTTGAGACGGTTCAGAAATATTCAGGGCCGTCACAACACACACACATTGACAGACTCTCTCCTCACAGACACACACACTGACACACTCTCTTCACAGACAGATGAACCAACCAGGAACCAATCTGGAAATGCTGTCAGCCTCCACACATAGAGTTCTAAGTGATGCTAGTGTGTGTGTGTGTGTGTGTGTGTGTGTGTGTGTGTGTGTGTGTGTGTGTGTGTGTGTGTGTGTTCTAAGTGATGTTGGAACGTGGAAGCACCACTAATGCTGTGACTGGCACTTTCCCATGCAGAGTAAATACAGGAATCCTTTTAACCAACTCTCAGAATGTCATTTACAGCCTGACTTAGAGATTTGAATGGGGAAATCTGTGTTAGATCCATAGAAAATAACTACTAGATCCATAGAAATAGAATAAGTAATTCTATTAAAATAGTAATGCTATTTCTATGATATCTGGGCACATATCTACAAAGCCTCTCAGAGTAGGAGTGCTGATCTAGGATTAGTTTCGGCTTTTAGATCAAAAGGAATAAGATTATAAGGACAGGTGGGGACCTGATCCTAGATCAGCGCTCTTACTCTGATACGCTTTGTGGTTACAGGCCCTGGTCTAGATTGGAGTAACAACTCTAGCTACAGACCTGTACTGACTATACTTGACTGCATCACTGTCCTGGAGTGACTCAGCAGAACACCTGATAACCTGGACTCATTCAGCTGAAAACAACCAGGTTGAAAAGAGAAAGCAGAGAGAGCGGAGCAGTCAAATGTATCAGCACAGTGGAGCTAATATGTTCCACACAAGCTAGCCTGAATGGCTGCCTCTCTCTCTCCAACCAATCTGCTTTGTGTCTGTCTCGTCTTCATTCTTTCACCCCTCCATCTTTCTCTCTACCACCTTTCCTTCTCTCCTCTGCCTCCATCTTTCTCTCTACCACCTTTCCTTCTCTCCTCTGCCTCCATCTTTCTCTCTACCACCTTTCCTTCTCTCCTCTGCCTCCATCTTTCTCTCTACCACCTTTCCTTCTCTCCTCTGCCTCCATCTTTCTCTCTACCCCTTTCCTTCTCTCCTCTGCCTCCATCTTTCTCTCTACCACCTTTCCTTCTCTCCTCTGCCTCCATCTTTCTCTCTACCACCTTTCCTTCTCTCCTCTGCCTCCATCTTTCTCTCTACCACCTTCTTCCTTCTCCTCTCTCTCTGCCTCCATCTTTTCTCTCTACTCTCTACCACCTTTCCTTCTCTCCTCTCCTCCACTTCTTCTCTCTCCTACTCTACCACTTTCCTTCTCTCCTCTGCCTCCATCTTTCTCTCTACCACCTTTCATTCTCTCCTCTGCCTCCATCTTTCTCTCTACCACCTTTCCTTCTCTCCTCTGCCTCCATCTTCTCTCTACCACCTTTCCTTCTCTCCTCTGCCTCCATCTCTCTCTCTCTACCACCTTTCCTTCTCTCCCTGCCTCCATCTTTCTCTCTACCACCTTCCTTCTCTCCTCTGCCTCCATCTTTCTCTCTACCACCTTCCTCTCTCTCCTCTGCCTCCATCATTCTCTCTACCACCTTCCCTTCTCTCCTCTGCCTCCATCTTTCTCTCTACCACCTTTCATTCTCTCCTCTGCCTCCATCTTTCTCTCTACCACCTTTCCTTCTCTCCTCTGCCTCCATCATTCTCTCTACCACCTTCCCTTCTCTCCTCTGCCTCCATCTTTCTCTCTACCACCCTTTCCATTCTCTCCTCTGCCTCCATCTTTCTCTCTACCACCTTTCCTTCTCTCCTCTGCCTCCATCATTCTCTCTACCACCTTTCATTCTCTCCTCTGCCTCCATCTTTCTCTCTACCACCTTTCCTTCTCTCCTCTGCCTCCATCATTCTCTCTACCACCTTTCCTTCTCTCCTCTGCCTCCATCTTTCCCTTCTCCCCGTCTCTCCCCCTCCCCCTGGGGATGCTACTGACACAGTCCTCTTGGCTGGCTTTCCCAGCCCCAGGCTCATTCCCTGCTGATCCCCCTGTAGGGCTGATCCCCCCCTGTGGCTCTGCTGTTCCACACCACTACTACAGTGGGGGGAAAAAGTATTTAGTCAGCCACCAATTGTGCAAGTTCTCCCACTTAAAAAGATGAGAGACGCCTGTAATTTTCATCATAGGTACACGTCAACTATGACAGACAAAATGAGATTTTTTTTCTCCAGAAAATCACATTGTAGGATTTTTAATGAATTTATTTGCAAATTATGGTGGAAAATAAGTATTTGGTCACCTACAAACAAGCAAGATTTCTGGCTCTCACAGACCTGTAACTTCTTCTTTAAGAGGCTCCTCTGTCCTCCACTCGTTACCTGTATTAATGGCACCTGTTTGAACTTGTTATCAGTATAAAAGACACCTGTCCACAACCTCAAACAGTCACACTCCAAACTCCACTATGGCCAAGACCAAAGAGCTGTCAAAGGACACCAGAAACAAAATTGTAGACCTGCACCAGGCTGGGAAGACTGAATCTGCAATAGGTAAGCAGCTTGGTTTGAAGAAATCAACTGTGGGAGCAATTATTAGGAAATGGAAGACGTACAAGACCACTGATAATCTCCCTCGATCTGGGGCTCCACGCAAGATCTCACCCCGTGGGGTCAAAATGATCACAAGAACGGTGAGCAAAAATCCCAGAACCACACGGGGGGACCTAGTGAATGACCTGCAGAGAGCTGGGACCAAAGTAACAAAGCCTACCATCAGTAACACACTACGCCGCCAGGGACTCAAATCCTGCAGTGCCAGACGTGTCCCCCTGCTTAAGCCAGGACACGTCCAGGCCCGTCTGAAGTTTGCTAGAGTGCATTTGGATGATCCAGAAGAGGATTGGGAGAATGTCATATGGTCAGATGAAACCAAAATATAACTTTTTGGTAAAAACTCAACTCGTCGTGTTTGGAGGACAAAGAATGCTGAGTTGCATCCAAAGAACACCATACCTACTGTGAAGCATGGGGGTGGAAACATCATGCTTTGGGGCTGTTTTTCTGCAAAGGGACCAGGACGACTGATCCGTGTAAAGGAAAGAATGAATGGGGCCATGTATCGTGAGATTTTGAGTGAAAACCTCCTTCCATCAGCAAGGGCATTGAAGATGAAACGTGGCTGGGTCTTTCAGCATGACAATGATCCCAAACACACCGCCCGGGCAACGAAGGAGTGGCTTCGTAAGAAGCATTTCAAGGTCCTGGAGTGGCCTAGCCAGTCTCCAGATCTCAACCCCATAGAAAATCTTTGGAGGGAGTTGAAAGTCCGTGTTGCCCAGCGACAGCCCCAAAACATCACTGCTCTAGAGGAGATCTGCATGGAGGAATGGGCCAAAATACCAGCAACAGTGTGTGAAAACCTTGTGAAGACTTACAGAAAACGTTTGACCTGTGTCATTGCCAACAAAGGGTATATAACAAAGTATTGAGAAACTTTAGTTATTGACCAAATATTATTTTCCACCATAATTTGCAAATAAATTCATTAAAAATCCTACAATGTGATTTTGTGGATTTTTTTTCTCATTTTGTCTGTCATAGTTGACGTGTACCTATGATGAAAATTACAGGCCTCTCTCATCTTTTTAAGTGGGAGAACTTGCACAATTGGTGGCTGACTAAATACTTTTTTTCCCCCACTGTATATCCCTCAGGGTGTACTCTGGCTGGGCCACTGGCCAGGGAGGTATTCATGTTGGAGTCATGTTTGTGTTGGTTGACAGTGGTAGTGGATGCCCTGCGTGACACGGGAGGATGAGACGGGAGAGTGACTCTTTTGACCAGCGTACCCATACTTCATTGGGGTGATTATGTCATGTCCCTGTCAATCTGGATGTCCTTGCTTCTCAGTTGACTTGGTGCTCTCTCTTCTGTATTCCTGCTGGATTACGCTCTTTTTCTGTTAACCACATCTATTGTATTCCTGCTGGATTACTCTCTTTTTCTATTAACCACATCTACTGTATTCCTGCTGGATTACTCTCTTTTTCTATTAACCACATCTACTGTATTCCTGCTGGATTACTCTCTTTTTCTATTAAGCACATCTATTTAGGGATGCAACTTTCGGTCAATTTTGCTGCTGATTTACTGACCTTCATTAACCGGTCAACAAACAGTAAAATGAAGTGACCGACAGAAAATACTGTCAGAGATCTGTATATAATGACAAGACGTTTATGTTTCCGCCAGAACAATGGGAGTCGTCCAAAGACGGGAAGGCAGGCGACAAGCTTAGGCCCAAAATAAGCCCATAGGACTTATTTTGGACAGATTTTGCCGTGGGTGAAACCTCTCGCTTCGCCTCTTCCTCTCTGATAGTATGCATGCATACAAGGACCGGACATTTTTCATTAAGAGCTTAATGGAAACATGCAACAATAGCAAGCCTATCATCTTACATTCAAAAGGCTATAGGCTATTATTGAAAATGCAACTCCCGTAATGAAGCAGCTAATAAAACGTCATTTTAAAACATTTGCCCAAATGCAATTAGCGGAAAACACAGTTCTAAACTGCGCACCTAATGCAAGCAGTTCCATACATGACAGAGATGAAATCTCAATTAGAAACTTAGAAAGAGTGGGAAATCTAATAGCAACTACTATGATGGGGTTGCTAATATGACTAGGATTGGGCCTTTGGCTTCTGGACAACGAAATAAAGTTGATATGAAAACCAATAGAACAGGAGAGAAATGCTGGTTAATGGCATGAGGAAGTCTTTATAAAATAATTGTCTCCACGTTTCTATGGATGGATTTTTGCAGGGCTACTTTGAAGCAAGGTAAGACATGCCTCATTATTTGAAGTAAAGTTCACATTGTAAAGTGGTGGGTGACGCGCTGATGGTCAACGGTAGGCAGGCTATAGCCTATGCATCCGAATGGCGAATGGGAGGCGCGCTTTACAAGTTGAGATTGAAAAATAAAAATAGCTCCTTTTTAATCGTGGCCACCAAAGTGTTTAACACGCGATTGCATTTAGAATTGTTATTTGTTGCGCTATGACTGGGTTTACAAAAGCATGGTTCACTCCAGTAGGTAGGCTATTCCGCTCCACAAGCTAGCCTGTATGCTGTGTGCGTGTGATAAATAAAAAGCATGATGACTAACGAAAATACACGCGCCAATTTAATTCGACAAAATTATGCAAATGAACCTATAGACCGATTTAGCATTACCAGTCAAATATATTTAAAATGGATTAATCCTGCTGGATTACTCTCTTTTTTCTTTGTTCTCTTTTTCTCTTCCCCTCATTCCTCTCTTCCCAGCACGGTTTTTGAACACCTGCTGAAATATTCAAATAAAACAACTTTATTTCTCTCCTGTCTTGTGAATATTTCAGTCTATTCCGGTGTGTTTCTTACTGGGGATGTGAGGCTCCAGGTGGAGTGTTGTCTCTCTTGGAGCTAAATGCACTTTCTCTGTTCTGTCCATCTACATGCATGACGTTACACATATAGAAGCCCTGCCAGGTGAGGTCGAAAATCTTTACCTCTCCACTCAACCCAAGTGACTAATAAATGACTTGGACATGAAGCGCAAAAATGCTAATATAGCTAGCATTGACTTGCTTTGGATTTGTGCCACAAATGCTAAAAAGTTAGCATTTGAAACAGTGGCCAGGTAAACAAAACCAAAGCATGGATTGCTGTCTTACCTTGTCCATAGACTGCTTACAGGGTAAGGAAACCAATACGTCATTTTGTAATTGGGGTGAACTATCCCTTTAACCCAACCCGTCTCTCCCTCTCTCTTTGTTGTCTGTAGGTCCTCCCTGACATGTCCACATTGCCTTAAACAGAGCAACACCTTTGACCCCTTCCTCTGCATCTCACTGCCCATTCCCCTACGGCAAACCAGGTAAGCGACACCAGTCATAAAGCCACTGCACGTGTGTGTGTTTGTGTGACATGTACACTTTTTATTTGACCAGTTCTCCCTTTTTGTGACAACAAGACACAATGGAATATGATCAAGTGCTAGTGTTGTGAAAAGCAAGGTGGGCGTTTCTGATAGACACACAACAGGTTGCTTGAATAACATGTGTATCGCTCACAGACAGTCTATCCACAGGGCCAGTCTGATATTGATGCTATTAACATGCTAGTTTGGTAGTAGACACTCTTATCCGATGCAACTTACCGCATTTGTATTAAGGTATAACTCTTGTATAGCTCTCACATATCCAGTATATGGCCTTAATACTAAGAGACTGACTCATGAATCCTCATCGGTTCAAGTGAGACCCACACAGTTACTGATTTTGGGACTCTGTTGTGCCTCCCTTTGGGATGGATGTATCCTCTCATGTCACTGTCCTCACTTACTGATGGCATATTCCCCTTATCGCCCCGCTGTCTGCAACTGAAATCTCAGTGAGATCTCAGTGATGGTGGTGTCTTCTTACATCAGCAGGGGGTTAACTAACATCACTGGCGCTTACTTTGTACACCACATCTCTATCTCTCATCCAGTCTCATCTCATCTCAGCATGTCTAACAACATTAAAAAACCCAGCGCTCACATCCTCCCCGTGTCTCTGCTCTTTGAGCACTCTGTTAGTGACGACGCGACACTTCCTGAATAATGCATGATGGGAAAGCAGGAAGCTGGGGCGTCCTCAGGGCTCCTGTCTCTCGCCCAGACTTTTCTCCATCTCTATCCCTCCACCCCTTTTTCCTTCCACTGAGTCATACCTCAAACCTGTGGCCTCAAATAGCGCTAAGTGCTCACCCCTTCATCCTTCCATCGCTCCACCTGTCATGCCCACATCTTCTGCACTAGCTAGCTCCTGTTGATTGTAGATAGGCGTGCCTCAGCTCCCTGTGGTGCTAATGCTAACACGTTAGCATCGCCTTGCAGTCAGGCATGCCCAGACAGACATTGTGGCGGAGATAAGAGAACAGCACAGCAAGTGTAATGTCTAGAAGCTGTCTTTGTGTGTGTGTGTGTGTGTGTGTGTGTGCGCTTGTGAAGAACTGGCTGTAACAAGTTTCTCTCTCTCTCTCTCTCTCTCTCTCTCTCTCTCTCTCTCTCTCTCTCTCTCTCTCTCTCTCTCTCTCTCTCTCTCTCTCTCTCTCTCGCTTGCTTGCTTGCTTTCTTTCTCTTTCCTCTCTCTCTCGCTTTCTTTCTTTCCTCTCTCTCTCGCTTTCTTTCTTTCCTCTCTCTCTAGCTTTCTTTCTTTCCTCTCTCTCTCGCTTTCTTTCTTTCCTCCCTCTCTCGCTTTCTTTCCTCTCTCCTCTCTCTCTCTCTCTCTCTCTCTCTCTCTCTCTCCAGGTGTATGAGTGTGACCCTGGTGCTTAGTACTAAGGGTCAGAGGTATCTACGTGTTGGTCTGGCTGTGCCTCTCATTGGCTCCATCTCCTGCCTGCGTGCCATGGTGGCTGAGGAGGGCAAGATCACGCCAGACCAGGTAGGGGCTGCACACACAATGGTCAGTGGGCCAGACTCGTTAGCCTACAAAATCTAAAAGGCCCTATCCAGCTCTATCCTGTCTCTATGGGGTATAAATTAATTATTCCGCTCACTCACTGTAACATACAAAACCCTCTCCCTTAGTCATGGTGAGAATCTCTGTCCGTTAATTACCATACATCTCAGACAGAGGCTTTTTACCGGTTTTAAAGGGACCATCATGGAAAGCCCTGCTGCTATGACTGACACAGAAAAAGGAAAACCAGACAGAGGAAGAGAGAGGGGCTAGACAGACAGAAGAGAGAGGGGCTAGATAGACAGAGAAAGAGAGAGGGGCTAGATAGACAGAGAAAGAGAGAGGGGCTAGATAGACAGAGAAAGAGAGAGGGGCTAGATAGACAGAGAAAGAGAGAGGGGCTAGACAGACAGAGAAAGAGAGAGGGGCTAGATAGACAGAGAAAGAGAGAGGGGCTAGACAGACAGAAGAGAGAGGGGCTAGATAGACAGAGAAAGAGAGAGGGGCTAGATAGACAGAGAAAGGAGCAGTCCAGACGTAGAATGACAGAGAATGGAGCAGACGAAAAGAGGGAACAAATAGACAGGAAAAAGAGAGAAAGATAGGAATATTCCAGACTGAGAGAGTCAGCTGTCAGCCCCACAGCTGGGCCTAAAGTCTCCTCATGCTATGTGAGGATGAGCGGGATGGGACATCACTGTTTGTCTGTCTGTTTTTTTGTGATTTGACGAAAGCCTTCTCAGAAAACAGAAGTGAGGAGATAGTAAGGAATCCTTAAAGGTCCAATGCAGCTGTTTTTATCTCGATATCAAATCATTTCTGGGTAACAATTAAGGGTCTTACTGTAATTGTTTTCAATTAAAATTGTCAAAATTATACAAAGTTAGCTTCTTAGCAAAGAGCAATTTCTCAAGCAAGAATCTTGCTAGGACTGTCAGGGAGTAGTCTGAGTGGGGAGGGGAATACTAGCTGTTATTGGCAGAGAAGTTTGGAACTCTTTCTTATTGGTCTATTAACTCATTTACCATCTGGTGATGTCACCAGGCAGGCCAAAACTCCATCCCACCAAAACAGACTGATACTTATTTTCTAACAGCTCTTACACTAAAAGGGCATTAACGTAATTATCCAAATGTACGTTTTATTCCAACCCCATTGTGTGGAAAATCACATTTTTGACTGCACTGGGCCTTTATGTGTTTACTTTAGAAGGATCTTGAACATACTTATAACACAAATATAGCATGTCTGCTTTGTTTGATTTGCGGGTTTTCTCTGTTTGCTTTGCCACATACATTCCCTTTGTCATCTATAGCTTGTCTGTCTACAACTATTAGCCTGTGTATGTGTGTGTTTGACCCCCATGCTAAGCCACTTAGCCATGTCCACGGCTGTTTATTATAAAGTCTACTTCCGTGCTGTATTAAGCAATGTACATCTCTTTAAACCATCTCCTCCTCGCTCGCTCTCTCCCTCCATCACCCCCCCCATCCAGGTGATCCTGTCAGAGCTCTACGCCACCGGCTTCCAGCGTTCGTTCTCTGACGACGACGATCTGACCAGCGTTGCCGAGAGCGATGTGGTCTATGCCTTCCAGGCTCCGCCCCTCCACACACGGGGAGGCTCCACGCGAATCTCGGGTAATCATGGCTGCAGCCACAGCCCCAAGTGTCTCTCTCTCTATCGCTCTCCCGCTCTCGCTCTCTCTCTCTCTCAGGCTAGCCCGAAGCTATTTGGCTTTAGCACAATGGATAGTGTTTGTTCAGACAAACACTATAGAGCTACTGTGGCTTGCAAAAGTATTCACCACCTTTGGCATTATTCCTATTTTGTTGCCTTACAACCTGGAATTAAAATGGATTTTTGGGGGGGTTTGTATCATTTGATTTACACAACATGCCTACCACTTTGAAGATGCTAAAAAAAAAAATATTGTGAAAATAAGATAGAAAAACAGAACTTGAGCGTGCATAACTATTGCCTGGGCTGTGAGATTTGGTGGGCGGCCCTCTCTTGGCAGGTTTGTTGTGGTGCCATATTCTTTCCATTTTTTAATAATGGATTTAATGGTGCTCCGTGGGATGATATTTTTTATAACCCAACCCTGATCTGTACTTCTCCACAACTTTGTCCCTGACCTGTTTGGAGAGCTCCTTCGTCTTCATGGTACCGCTTGCTTGGTGGTGCCTCTTGCTTAGTGGTGTTGCAGACTCTGGGGCCTTTCAGAACAGGTGTATATATACTGAGATCATGTGACAAATCATGTGACACTTTTATATTGCACACAGGTGGACTTCATTTAACTAATTGGTTGCACCAGATCTTATTTAGGGGCTTCATAGCAAAGGGGGTGAATACATATGCACGCACCACTTTTCCGTTATTAATTTTTTCACTTCACCAATTTTGACTATTTTGTGTATGTCCATTACATGAACTCCAAATAAAAATCCATTTAAATTACAGGTTGTAATGCAACAAAATAGGAAAAGCGCCAAGGGGGATGAATACTTTTGCAAGGCACTGTATAGGTTCTTAGGTGTTGGATCCTTGCACACGACAGTCTTCTCCTTTTTGCTATTTCATGTTATTTCATGGACAGGTACTGTATTTCTGTCTAGGTTATTCAATTCTCTCAGACAGTGTCCCTGACGGTCTTATATCTAGCTGAGGGCTTGATGTACTGAGGTAAAGGCTCGCTCTCACTCACACACATGCACACACACACATACTCAGTCACATACTTGGATCGTGAACGTGGATGAGATGGAGCCAGCCTTGCGTCACCTCCCTTTGAAATCAGCCCCAGCTTCACCAGGCGGCGTCAAATTAACTATTGATATGGCGACTGCACATGCACGCATGTACGCACACACACACTTGTTTTCACCTGTTGACTCCTTTCTAGTTGACCCATTTCCAAAAGGTGAGTGTCTTAACTCTTATCCCTGCGGGACGCCCAACCGGGAGGGCTACGTTCAGAGCAGCACAACGCTAAAAGAAACCCTTAGTGTTTTTCAATGTTCTTTAACTCCTGAAAAGGGCCACATCAATAATTCAATAATGTGCTCAAAGGGGTCATGAAAAATGTACGATCCTCAATCTCTCTCCGGGAACGATAAAACGATATCCTTATCACCTCGAGACAGAGGAGAGAAAATAATGTCCCAGCACTAATGGAGGTGATCAGACTAAGGGCAGAGGAGAGCGGAAGAGGCACACACACACACACTGACAGTCATTAGCACTCAAAAGCACACATGCAGTACACACATGCATACAATAACTATATATATTTTTATACACATTCTACTGTAAATGATGAGTGAACTCCTATTACCAGTGTAATGATTCAGAACCTCAGCTGGGCTGATTAGACTCGACATAACATGCATTCAGTTATTGCAAGCGTCATTACTGTTTCTGACATCTCATATCACCTCCCTGCCATCTTAACTACCCCACAGTCTGCATAACAATGGTGGGTCATTTCACAACAGCTAAACGCTCGTAACAGGTTTATTGAATAGGGCCTTCATTGCTTTATTGGATTAGATTGAATAGAAGCCTGAGTTACTGTGTGTGTGTGTGTGTGTGTGTGTGTGTGTGTGTGTGTGTGTGTGTGTGTGTGTGTGTACTGTTAGCTTTACAAAGCTGTGGGGAGGGAGAAGACATGATAAGATATTGTTACATCCTATTGTCGTCTAATTGGTTAGTGTGTTCCTTACTGTATTGGTTAAGTATCCAATTACTGTAATCATGTGTAATCATCACTCAATCAGAACCACTGGGTGATGTGAATGTAATCAAATGAGACATTGAAATATACATGCATTATTATGGAGCTATAATGCTGTGGTTTCAGCATCCAGTACCACATCCACCCATTTAGTTTTAGAGAACAAATTGAGAAATGTAATACTGAAGAATGGGGCTGGGTTGATAATATATTTTAGGATGGTAGGCTATAATGATATTTTCATGATGAGCCACAATTTATAAGGAAATTGTCCTAATTAAGAATTAACTGGTGTGACAGATCTGTCTGCTCAGTCTGTCACAAACAATTCCCAGAAATCCCTATCTCTTGTGGCTAACCGTAGAAATATGCTGTGGAACCTTTGCATGCTGTTAGAGCCTAATTTTAATGGGGCATGTTAGAATAAGACAACCTGTCAGTAAACCGATGTCATCATCTTAAATATACAGCGGATGCTTACGTATATGAGCTAGCATTGCTGTCACGACCCATATTGACTGTATTAAGCTTGTAGTACCACCCTCCCTCCCTCTCTTCCGCTGTAGAAATATGTTTAATCATGGACACCGTTGGCTCTTTAAACCTGTGACCAGACAGGCCCTCATTTGCGGAACAAATCAGCCAGTCACCCTCATGCACACATGCTCTCTCTCTCTTTCTCTCTCACTCTCTTTCTCACACACACACACACATACACACGTCCCAGCCCCCTTTTGGCTGGTACATATGTGCCTTAGCCTGTGTGTCACTCCCCCCGTGGGCTACAGACAGACAGTCACACAGTCGACCCCCGGCGTGGTCCAGACTCCTCACCATGAGTAATGGCCCTGTGTGTATAATCTCATTTCATGTGAGTGTGTGTGTGCGTGCGGGCATGTGTGCCTGTCTGTCTGTGTGCGTGCGTGCGTGCGTGCGTGTGTGTGTGTGTGTGTGTGTGTGTGTGTGTGTGTGTGTGTGTCTCATAACTCTCTCTACAACATCGGCACAATCTGAGCCCCAGCGGGCACAGCGCAGGCACAAAGCCAATCTGCTCACCGGCTAATAAAAGTCCCAAATTGAAATGGGGAATTTGGTTAGCGAAGGAAAGGTTACGATTTCTCATGTCGGATAAGAGAAAGTAGCTCAGCGGGGGACTGGGAATCAGGCCCATTGCCTCCTGGTGGGGAGTCAAAATTAGCAGAGCCCAATACATTTGTTGAAAACATTAGGAGGGAGGGAGAGAGAGAGTGATAAAAGACAGATACAGTGGCTTGCAAAAGTATTCACCCCCCTTGGAATTTTTCCTATTTTGTTGCCTTAAAACCTGGAATTAAAATTGATTTTTGGGGTGTTTGTATCATTTGATTTACACAACATGCCTACCACTTTATTGTGAAACAAACAAGAAATAAGACAAAAAAAACTTGAGCCTGCATAACTATTCAACCCCCCAAAGTCAATACTTTGTAGAGCCACCTTTTGCAGCAATTATAGCTGCAAGTCTCTTGGGGTATGTCTCTATAAGCTTGGCACATCTAGCCACTGGGATTTTTGCCCATTCTTCAAGGCAAAACTGCTCCAGCTCCTTCAAGTTGGATGGGTTCTGCTGGTGTACAGCAATCTTTAAGTCATACCACAGATTCTCAATTGGATTAAGGTCTGGGCTTTGACTAGGCCATTCCAAGACATTTAAATGTTTCCCCTTAAACCACTCAAGTGTTGCTTTAGCAGTATGCTTAGGGTCATTGTCCTGCTGGAAGGTGAACGTCTGTCCCAGTCTCAAATCTCTTGAAGACTGAAGGTATTATTTATTTTTATTTCACCTTTATTTAACCAGGTAACCCAGTTGAGAACAAGTTCTCATTTACAACTGCGACCTGGCCAAGATAAAGCAAAGCAGTGCGATTAAAAACAACAACAACACAGAGTTACATATGGAATAAACAAAAACGTACAATCAATAACACAATAGAAAATACAAAATCTATATACAGTGTGTGCAAATGTAGTAAGTTATGGAGGTAAGGCAATAAATAGGCCATAGTGCAAAATAATTACAATTTAGTATTAACACTGGAGTGATAGATGTGCAGAAGATGATGTGCAAATAGAGATACTGGGGTGCAAATGAGCAAAATAAATAACAATGTAAATAACAATATGGGGATGAGGTAGTTGGGTGGGCTAATTACAGATGGGCTGTGTACAGGTACAGTGATCGGTAAGCTGCTCCGACAACTGATGCTTAAAGTTAATGAGGGAGATAAGTGTCTCCAGCTTCAGAGATTTTTGTAGTTCGTTCGAGTCATTTGCAGCAGAGAAATGGAAGGAATGGCGGCCAAAGGAGGTGTTGGCTTTGGGGATGACCAGTGAGATATACCTACTGGAGCGCATACTACGGTGTGTTGCTATGGTGACCAATGAGCTAAGATAAGGCGGGGATTTGCCTAGAAGTGATTTATAGATGACCTGGAGCCAGTGGGTTTGGCGACGAATATGTAGTGAGGGCCAGCCAATGAGAGCGTACAGGTCACAATGGTGGGTAGTATATGGAGCTTTGGTGACAAAACGGATGGCACTGTGACAGACTACATCCAATTTGCTGAGTTGAGTGTTGGAAGCTATTTTGTAAATGACATCGCCAAAGTCAAGGATCGGTAGGAAACAGGTTTCCCTCAAGAATTTCCCTGTATTTAGCGCCATCCACCATTCCTTCAATTCTGACCAGTTTTCCAGTCCCTGCCGATGGAAAAACATCCCCACAGCATGATGCTGCCACCACCATGCTTCACTGTGGGGATGGTGTTCTCGGGGTGATGAGAGGTGTTGGGTTTGCACCAGACATAGCGTTTTCCTTGATGGCCAATAAGCTAAATTTTAGTCTCATCTGACCAGAGTAC